ACCCCGGGCCCCCGAGGCGTCCTGGGTCTTGGAACAGACGGGAAACCGCCCCTGGCCCTTCGAGGGGCGCGGGGCGCGTCAGTTTGATTCTGCAAGTCCCTAACGGTACTTCGGCCAAGGGCACGTTAATCAGAGCGCAGAGCAGCGGGCACCACACCCCGAGGTGATGACCTCATAATGCAGCTAGGACTAGATATGGAAATGTTGGAGCGAGTCCGGTTGGGCTGGGAATGGGCGCACTTTCCCGTCCTCGAAGCCGAGGAAGCCGCAGAATGGCGGCGGCGCGGGGCCCGCGGCCATGTCCCCTCAGCCCCCGCCCTGCGGACTCCCTCGACCCCGGCCGCCTGTTGCCGAAAGCAAATGTGGCTCCTGGTGCAGTTTATTATACAATAAAAGCGGGGCGGGCCGTTTCTCGATAGACACGAACCCGCCTTCCCGTGGGAGCCGTGGGGACGAGCCATCTGGGCCCTGGAAAATCACCGGTGGCGCTTTAAACCTCAGATCGGAGGTTCGAAAAGAAAGGAGAAGGGACTTGGATCTGGAGACGATGCTGAGTGGCCATTTTGAAATGGCCTCTCTTATCAGGCGCGACTGGCACCAGGGACCCCTGGAGGGGCAGGTCCACTGCATGTGGCTCGTAGCTGTGACCCCGACACGGAGTGGGTGTGATTTTGTGGGTGGCAAACTGGAGCCAGGCCCGAGCTCCTGTCCCCCAGTCTGCAGGCTTCGAGGTTCACTATTCTTAGCTACGTCTTTTGACTCATAGGGGAGACCCATCCATGATTCCTTTCAGAAAGGATGCTAACAGACGTGAAACTGGAAGCCGGCCTGCCAAACCTAAAAAGGGAAAGGAACCCTACTAAAATATTAAAAGTTGCTGATGGAATTATGGCACTTTCCTGAGTCTTTATTTCAAAATGAACATATGTTACCTTCAGGAAAAAATAATTTAGCGGGGCTAGAGCTACAAAGAAGTAAGCGGAAGGATGCTGGGAGGGTAGACGAAGGGTGTCTTCTACCCGGTATGGGATAGGAGGTCAGGGAGGGCTTCCCTGAGAAAGTGACCAGGGCTAAGTTTGAAGAAAGTTAAATGGCAGATGAAGTGCAGGAGGGAGATGGGGGAAGGAATTCCAGGCAGAACGGCACATGCAGAGGAGTAAAGATGTGGAATGCATAGCCTGGCCAAAGTGCCTTAAGAAAGTGTATTGGCCGGGAAAGTAGAGTCATGTTGGAGAATGCTGGAAGGGTAGTGTAGGGGCCAGGCCAGGTTTTGTGCTGTAAAAAGGAATTCAGTTTTATCCTGGATGACACGAAGGCACTAAGGGATTTCCAGCCAGGGCGATAGATACCATGTTAGTTTTGCTTTTAGAAACCTTACACTGAATCAACAGAAAAACTACTAGGATAAGAGTATAGTGAAGTCACCAGTTACAAAGCTTTCCTATACAACAGTCACCACCAGTTAGAAAATGTAATGAAAGAAAAAAAATTTTTTTTTCATTTACTTTGGCAGCAAAAGCTTAAAGTACCTAGGAATAAAATTAACAAGAAATGTGATGAAAATTATAAATGTTTACTGCTGGACAGAAGAGAAAACTTGCATCAGTGAAGAGACAACATGTTCTTGTAAAGATGTCAGTTCTCCCAAAATAAACCTGTAAATTCAATACAACTTCTATAAAACTCGTGGCCTTTTGGAACTTCACAAAATGATTCTAAAATTCATTTGGAAGCATTAAGTGTGTCGAATAGTTGATACGCATTTGTGTGTGTGTGTGTGGGGGGGTTATGAGGGTAGTTTGCCCTCCCTGGTATATATTTTTAAGAAGTACTATAAAGTACTATGAGCAGTTGGTATACTGCCACAGGGAGAGATGGGTCCCTCAGTGCAACAAAACAGCCCTACCCTCGTTTGTATGGGAAGTGGGTAGATGCTAAAGTGGCATTTCAAATTAGGGGAGAAAGAATGAGTTCAGAAAATTATGTCGAAACAATTGATAGTCATGTGGAAGAAAATGACTCACTGTATTTCAAAACATGTTCCAGATGGATTAAAGAGTCAAGTCTTTAAAAAAAAACCTATGAAGTAACTGGAAGAATATGTAGAAGATTATCTTTTAGAATTTGGGGGTAGGGAGCATAGTTCTGAGGCTGTCAAAAGTCATAAAAAGACAGTTGACAGATCTGACTACTAAAAATGATAAGCTCTAAGATAAAAGATGCCATAAACAAAGTTAGAATTTAAATGACAAATTGAGTCGATATTTGTAGCTCTTATAAGTGGTGAAGATGAATCACCATGCTCTATAATATATGTTCATATATATAATTATATACATATAAA